TGACGCAAACCACATAGCGATATGTTACAGTTTTTCGGACAACTGTGGTGAATCAAGCTTCCCAGGTGACGTCAGCTTCGGGGTCTGCGCCTTACAGCTTCTGGACTACAAACCGCAGACCAATTGTACCAACCAATCAGAAGCCGCACAGTCCAGACTGAAGCCGCAAGAGGACAGATATACTTGCATGCGACTGGCAGAGGCTTGGATGACGAAATAGCTTGTTTTTTTACATATTATTATTATTATTATTATTTCTTTAAATAAATGAAGTGCTACTCCTATGGCCTTTTCCTTGCGTCTCGGTTACGTCGGATACTGTCATGCAAGTGCCACTGTGATTCAGAGCTTACGTGATGTGCGTGATTTCTGATAAGGGCTTCCTATTTCGTGATCAGTGAGTACTACAACTACCACAGCAGGGTATCAACCACAGAACGGCAACGTGGTTTGAGCAATCTCTCTATACCGGAACCCTCGTTATCCCGATTCCGGATAAATGACTAGACTTTGATCAATCCATGTATACCAAACGCTTCTCCATTTTCGCTCCACGTTTGGCTAGAAATACCAACAAAGAATTGCACTTTTTGCAGCTATCTTTTAATTGATATCGTTGGAATATGCATCGTTTGGATCGGTGACACAGCACACTGATTTTCCTCAGTCATCTAACCGCTACTTCTGTGGACTTTTTCCTCCCCCTCTGTGCCGGGAGATTCCAGCCTACGATTTTTAGTGCGATTTCTTGCTTCAATTCTTACTGCGATCATGGTCCATGATTTGTTCAAATTTAGACCACTTCAAATTTCCTCCAAGATGCGCTAGCTTGAGTATGCGAAGGAGAAGAAGGAAAATGTACGATAGAACATATCAGTTGGAAGAAAATTTTCTAATTTTTACTGCCCCAAGATGAACTGTGTAATGCATTCGGTTAATATCATCGTTCATCAAGTTAATGGTCCCCAGACCGGAATTTCATTGGTCTTTATCTTTACAACTTACTTATGATAAACAGCTTTGAATTCGAAGCGACGGTCCATGGCTATTTTGCCATTTTTTGTTTCGTTTACCTTTCTGCCTGTCGTTAACTCAAATTAGCCCAACTAACCACGAACGGCAGCACATAATCGAACGGCCAAATGATCAAACGAGAGTGATTTTAACCTTTCTGGATGGGTCAGTTATTCGATCGTCAAACTACCCAACGGATCTTGTGCTTTTATTAATAAGGCACACTTATGTAAGTTACACACGTGCTCGCGACAAGCTTAATACCACGCAGTTGTAGTGCACAACTGTGCTTTCTGGTTTCGATTGCTGTGGATAAACCTTAGTCTTTGTGGTGATCCAGGCCAACGAGATGACGTCTACCCTAGAGCGGAGCGTTACAGATTTTCGACACCTGCGATCAATCAAATTTCAAAGGTGACGTCAATGACGCGCGTACCTGTCACTGCTTCTGAATACACACCATAGGCAGATCATGCCAGCCAATCCGGGATAGTGCAGTCCTGACAGAAGCAGAATGATGCAAGCAATACTGGAATGCGATTGGTGGAAGCCTGGATAACCAGTGATCTTCTTTTGTACATATTATTTAATCGCCGTCAGTTCTTCCGATAAAAGAACTACCATTCCTGTGACCTTTTCCTCGTGTCTCAGTAACGTGGGACATTGCGTGCCAGTGCCATTGCGGTCTAGTGCTTCCGTGATCCAGGCCGTGATAGCTGATCCTTGATGCGTATTACGTAGTCCGTGTTCCGAGTTCCTTGCGTATTACTACTACTACAATCATTACTGCCTTATTTGGTATTAATGTACATTACAGCTAAATATGTCCAGTATATACGTCCCCTCGTGTCCCCAGCCTCGTTTCTGTAGCTTGTTTTCGGGATTTTATTCTTTCTTAAGAAATTACGTGATCTCAAATTCAGAGTCAATGTGGTATCGAGTATACCGACTAGTATGATGAGAAAGGACAAAATATTTTCGTGTGCGCTGTTTATTGAAAAAACATGCTCCAATCCTTTCCAGTGCGACCTAGGGTGAAAAGTACACAGTGACTATACAGGAGAGAGCATCTCCACTTATGTTGCAAGGCGAGATTTTATGTAACACATATGGTATGGACATCTTGTATGGGAAATTAGTGCATACTATGGGCTTAGAATTACCATCAAGAGTGCCTGGTGCCTCTGAACAATCGAATACGCTAATCCAAGCCTGATACTCGAAATAGAATTACCATGTTCCTATTTGAGCTTGTAACAATGCATGATGGTCTCCAACCCTCGATGACTTAGCGTTGCCTAATTCATCGAATAAATTTACAAACCAGCGGTGTTTTACCTTTTTGGTTGATGCTCTTAGGAGTATTGGAACTAATTGATTCCATCCGGTGGATCTACCAACCAGAATTTCTTTCAGTGCTGAAAATACATCTTTATGGTGAAAACAGCTTCTCAAAACTGAACAAAGTGTCAACTCTGCACGGTATCTCAGGAAGTGGTGACCAATGAATCCAATCATAAGTAAACTTAGTAGCTGTTATATTTGGAAGGAAATATTTGAAAATCAAGCAACAGTGGTTTCCACACTCAGTGTAAAAGCTTACTTACTTACCCCAGTGCACACATAGAAATAAAGCTACTTAATCCCATCAAGTATTCACGATTTCACCAAACAGCTAGATGGCGCTCAAAATCCTTTTCCTCCAGGGCAATGAAAGATGATAAAACAGCTCGACCACTGCCACCCAGATTTCAATCACAAGACATTTTATTAGGACCTGTCAATAAGAAAACACCATCGAAGTGTTTCGCCTCGTTAAACGAATTACAAACATAAAGGTGTTACAACTTCAACAAGTGGTAACATTTCACTCCTTGAACGTTTTTTTCAAATACGGTTTATCCTGTTATTCTTTTAGTTGTGGTGTTGTCGCTTGAGGCGCATCAAACGCCTCTGCACCCCGTTGTTTGACGTTTCCCGCTTCATCCTCCTTCTCCACCATCTATGCTTACGCTGTCGCTTAAGTTGATTGTGCAATTCTCTTATCCAGTAACCCGAATGTATGTCGCGTTTCAGCCTCCACGTTTCTCCATAACATGACTGCATCAAGAGGTATCGATAGGTCAACCACACCACATGAAATCCTTAGACGTTCTCATTTCCATTCACATTTGTGTTTTGCCTCCAACAAATGAATCCAGAAAAAAAGACGTTTTACGTAAAAAAAAGCGCGCTGTTGGTATGGCATGCGATGGCTCGTTTTCTTCATTAGGGGGTTCAATTGTGCATTCGTTTACCGATTTACGAGCGGATGACGAAATGTATATTGTGTTTTACGCCTCTACTGATGTCACAAGAAAATATTGATTGTTCAAGAAGCATCATACTCAACTTTAATTGGTTTGAATCTATAAGTGGAACGAGAATCCTCGTAAGTGGTTAGAAAAATATTTCATATGGTCCAGAGGCCATAGGTATAGTTTCCGGAAAGGTAAAGCCTTCCTAAGCGAACCACCACTAGAGGTCACTTTACGGGTTAGAATGCATCATCGGTTATGTGTAAATGAACATCCTGGAACTTTATCGGAGATTTCGTAGTTTATACGACAGTATTGAAAATTGGAAACTTACCGATATCCCCCTTCGAAATTGTGTCATTCCGTTATAAACGTGTTCATTTCAGCCATAGCAAATGTGATTATATCAGACAAAAGAGGCTTAGAAATTACCTCGAAAGTGAATTCTGTCGAGAATCTGCTGAGTATGTTTTTTCTGTACATGCACTGTCCGTGTTTTACAGTTAACCTTCAAGATTTTATTAGAAGAAAATTGGAATCAAACGGTTTCACTATTATCTATCATCTATCAAACAAACACAAGGCTTGGTGATATTTTGTGATGTTGAACCACAACCGGGACATGAAAATCCGACCACAACTCCGTGTACTTGATTTACAAAACTATAACTTTTTCATTTAAAACTAACTGACATTCGTACTTCGAATTTTGACATTAGTATTATGGCATAATCAAATGGTCGATTTCTCTTATCTACACAGGGAAAGAAGCTGTCCTCATGATTTTTCTTTGTATAATATTGTTTAGTTGTGTTATTTGCCTGATAGCAATATTCACCCTTTGGTCATGTACTGACCGTAATTGTGGTTTTAACTGTTTTAACTGTCATGAATGATTCACCGCTTTTCATAGAACAAATTAAAAAATGAATAAATTATTTCTCCGGTTTTCTCTGTGTGCAATTCAACCCAGGAAATTCATCGCTTCAGATGGCCTGGAAATATGACCTACAAGTATGCACCTATGGATAGACGTTTTATGAATGGTTGTGGTCTGTCTCTCACTATAACAACCAATCAAATGTCAGAGTATTCGGTTGACCTAACGACACACTTAGCAACGCAACCATCTCAGATCAGTGGTCTCATTTCACCGACCATTCATATGGAATTAAGAATGTCTTCAGATTAACGATAGGTACACAAAATATGCCAGTGATCATCCTATCAATCAAGATTCGAACATCAGAAAATCCGGCCTGATCGGTTCCGCAACTGGGTGGCACTGCATAATATCCGTTACCGCCTTCCATCTTGCTTGTTCGCCACTTGCGTGGCCTACACACGGCTGGTCACGTCTGTCTGTGTACTATCTCCTGTGAATGAACAATCTGCGCATTGAGAGCGACTATTGATTTTCGTGCATTCAAACCACATTTGGCTGGCCCCAAAAATGTGCCTCACCTAGACAGGTGTGTGGGCTCAGTTTTATTGCATTTGTAGCAGCTTTTGCCTGAGCAACCTTGAAAAAGTGCATAACATTGTGATAATTTTTTGTATATGCCCTAGTGCACTCGCTTGCCCAGTGCTCCGAATACAAAATGACCAAACCGGCACAAAAACCTTGAGGATTGTTAAGTTTTGGTACACGGTATGGATGAATTACACAGGCTGTATGAGCATCAAACAATGATGGCCATAGGGATCTATTCATTTTTGGATAATCTCCTGGCCCATATACCAACGCGATCGGATATTGATATTGGTCCAGCACAAAATTCGACGAATCGTGAGACCAGCCTCAACGATCAGGAGAATGTTGGCCTAAGATCGAACGTGAGTGATGTAGCAGTGATCGACACCGGCTTGAGAACGGATTTATCAGCGGATAGACAAGAAAGAGTACGTTGGATCCCACATTTCTCCACGTGGACAATTCACGAAGGTGTGCCCGTAAGAGAGAATGGAGTTACTGAATCAGACTTAATGAATGTGACTGCTTCGCAATTAAACGATGAACCACTTGAGCCTCTTGATCCCTTAGAACCACCGGCAAAAATCGAAGTTGCACCAGGTGGATATCCAGAGGAGATTTTCATTTATCTGTCAGATCGGGAAAAATTGGATTATATGTGCTCTATTTGGTGAGTTACTTTCCCATTGATTATAAGCGGAGAAAGCCAGACTGACGTTCTCTCTGTTCGTGAGCTGTGAGCGGTCAGCTAACTTCGTGGAAAGTGGTTCCTATGAAATGTGCCTTTATTAAGGGTTACGTGCGCCCAGTAGTGAATTATGCTTTTCTCTGAGAGTCCTTAAGACTTCCTTCTAGGCTTAGTTGTGAAAGGAGGGACTTTTCTATTGGCTGTACGGTTTGCAAGAGTTTCAAAGCATGCATCGATTGTACCACTTAAGAAGTATGGAACGATTATTCTACGAATAAGCTGTGTGAATACCCAAAAGTGTTTTAAATTTACGAATGTTTCGTGAACACACCACTGAAATCTAAATGAATGAATTTATTCAAGGTTTGCTAGTATCTCGGTTACCTATGAGCCAGTAGTTGAGAGTAGCACAGATTGGTCTACTTGCCACCCATTTTGCATAAGTTTTAACTTTATTAATCCCCTATCAGATGGAACTTTGACTATGCGAAGCCTGATTTGAGTGGACGATTAGTGAAGTTTTATTCAGTACACACACATATATATATATCTATATATATCACCGGCTTGTGAGAAAGCTTGGTGCCGACGCAACAACAAGAATGAAAGAACATAGGTGTTGGGATACGCAGCAGAGTAAAAGGGGGTCAGACAGTTGAGCTGAATGACGAGAATAACAATGTTTTTTGTTTGTTTCACTTTAAACTTGATAGTTTTTATTAGTTCATCGTTTTTATGGGGCGCGGGATTTCACCGGGTTAACCATATAGCATATCGGCCGCTGACTTCTATTTGGGGTCATATCTCGGCGTCCACAACCAACGATAAACCTCGTTCCTTGAACCCCAACCTGGAAGGCGGGCTGCACCAACCGAAGCCAAAGCTGAAGCTAGATTCTTCATACCTCTACGCCATGTCATGGTCTGACTGCCGCTGCGATTCTTCTAGCCTTGCCCGACAAGAGCAAAAGAGCACGGAAGGGCAGACGATGTGCAGGCGCACACAAAGCATGACCAAGCCATTGGAGGCGGTGTAGAGCGATGAATTCTGTCAGCTATTCTTGGGAAGCTTCAGCCTGTGATTGAAAGTCGGTTCAGTTTGCAATTTATACAACCACTAACGTTGTACTTTATTTCGATGGTTTTGTTTGTTGCTTCTTGACTAACCACGTGATTTAAGGATTCGATAGAAGAAGTAGAACACAAAAAGTCCCGTTCGAGCAAAAACGTAGAACGCGGTTAAAAATCAGTAACAAATGAACTGAATGCAATCCGTATTTTCGAATTCGTATTCGCATCGATTGTGGTCTCTTTTTAGCTCCCGATGCAGTGGTTTNGTGTGATCAGAATACGTATGAGTGAGCAGTCTGTTGTGTACGCAAATGAAGAGCGTAATAATCAGGTAATTCCGTTTAAAAGTATGTACGAGAGTCACAGTAATCACACGGGTGTACCCATAGACGCATAAATAAGCAAAGCAAAGCACAACAAATCTGGCAGGCAGGCAGACAGGCGAATCGTCAATAGCAAACGGAGATGTTGCATACAGCTGAGGCGGATTCAGGCCGGGTAGCCAAGGGGACCACTAATAAATTATTGTGGACAATTCTATTTTGAAATCCTATTATCTGAGGCGATACGATCTTATAATGGAGTAAGTCGACGTGGCTTGCTTGCGTAGGTGTGTGGCAGCAATCGCCGT